TTTTTGCTGAGACATTTCTTTACAAACCTAAACAAGTGTATTTTATTTGATATTTGTTGATCATCTCTCCCTGAAATAAAAAGGGAGTGATATGTTTTAGTTTTTTGTTTTTTGTTTTTTTTTTTAAACAAAAAAAGGTGTTTGGGGGGGTTTTTTTGCAGTATGGGGGATCGAACTGAGGACCTTGCATTGCTAGGCAGGCGCAGCACCACTGAGCTAAATCCCCAGCCTGGTAATCATGTGTTTTAAGACCCACAGTACCATATTCATATTTATAAACTATGTGTTTTTTTAAAAAATGTGACCTAAAACTTTCAACTAAATCAAGCTCTAGTGCCTTATTGAGGCTTCTGGGGAGGCCCTTTCTACCACAGTACTAGCCTGTCTTTCTGGGCTCACCCCACATCATTCTCCCCTACACACTCTGTTCCACCTACTCAGACATTATAATTCTTTCATAACTTGATCATACCTTTTTGCTGCCTGTGAAACTCTTTCCTATGGGATCCATGAGGCATATATATTCCTTATCTGAAGACTAACTCCAGTATCACTTCCTATCTACATCTGTCCCTGACCACATACACATATAGAATTAATTTCTTTTATGTGTAGTCCCATAGCAGTATATCCACACTTTCACTATAATACAGGTCACATCATATTGCATTGATTTTTTTCATGTCTCTGTCTCCCCTAAAGAGGGTATGACTTCCTAGAGAGCAGGATAAATATCTCACTCATCTTTGTAATCTCAGTAGTCAATATATTTTTGTAGAATAAATACAGTAAATGAGATGACTTGTAAGCTACTATTTTCCTGGTTTGTATAAAATTAGTGAGTTATTGATTCTGGAACCAACCATATTTTCTACTTAGAATTGTGGCATCCTCCCATTTCTATTCATTTGAGCCATCTGACATTCTCTATGATTTCTTAAAGATTATCACTCACAGTTCTGAGATCACATCTAAAGAATTTTCTAACCTATTAAGTAACATATCTGGTGGTAGAACTTACATTATTTTGGATTAGAACTCTAAGTATCTCTCTTTTTATTAGTACGTGTTTGTTGAGTGAAATCAATGAGGCACACAAGCTTAAATACGCTATGGTATCCCTCATTTGAGTAAGGCAAAGTACAAAGAGAATAATAAAGGATGGAAAGCCGGAGACAAGGGGATGGATCTCCTCCAAATGGGAAGAGGCCCAAAAGATCAAGGATGAGGGGGAGGGGAAAGGATAAGGAGAATAAAGATATGTCACGTATCGCTTCTCGGCCTTTTGGCTAAGATCAAGTGTAAAGATATGCCATGTACAGGAACCTAATAACCTCAATGAATGTAAACACACATGCCATAAATATGAGCTAAGATTGATAATATCAACTAGAACTCTAAGTATCTCTTAATCTCTTCCTACCCTTATTTTTGGATTAGATATCTTGTTTGATATGTGGAATTTTCCCTTTTTTAATAGGAAAACTATCCTCTAAAATGGAAGGAAAAATGGAAATTCAAGACCATTATTTATTCAGCATATATTTCCTGAGGTATATAACTCCTGAGCATTATAGTTTAGGTGGAGTGGTAAGGACAAATAGCAAAATGTAGGCAAAGACATGGTGCCATGGGAAAGCAGAAAGGACAGCTTTTGGTCTGGGAAAATTTAGGAACATTTCTTAGAGGTGGTAGATCAGGCTTCAATTTGCAGCCTGGGAAAATACAGGAAGAAAAATATTCCAGGAAAAATAATTCAACCTTTCTTAATTGAAATTTTAAATTTTAAAAACATTTCTGTTCATAAGGATTTTTGTCATTGAATAGTGATCAAGTAACATTTCAAGAAAATCTAGATATTTTCCTAATATTTTGTGTTTCAGCAAGTAATGCCTCCAACCAATCATTTGCCCATCCTAATATTTATCCTTGATACTCGTTTTCCTTTTTCTCCAGTCTCTAGTCAATCACCAAGACCTGCTCAATCTAATTCCTAAATAGCTCTCAAATCTGCCCAGTGTTCATGACCTAAATTGCTACCACCCACAGCTACCACTTTTCCCCAACCGCTGGTAAATGACCACCTAGCCAATCTCCCCACACCTATGTTTTCTGTCTCCAAACCACCTCCCACACTGGAGCCAGAGTTGTCTTTAGTAAAATGTGCATCTGTCAGCCCTTGGCTTAAAATCCTTCAGTGGTTTCCCATTGTCTTAAGAGTGAGCTATTGTCTTTTCTTCTTTACATGCCTCTATGTTTTTTTAAAATAAGTGAACATAATTTTTAAACATGCAAATTGTTTGGAAGGCAGTGAGTAACAGGAAAGGGATCCTACCCTTTAAAGTAAAAGAGCCTAGGTTTGTTTCCAAGGTCTGTCACTTAAAATATGTGTGACCTTGAGCAAGTTATTTGGCCTTTCTGATCCTCTTTTTTCTCCCCAGTAAAATAGAGATGATAATAATCCCTATATAACATTCTGTTGTAAAGATTAAATGAGATAATAAGTGCAAATATAATTTTAAACTATCACCAATTATGTAAATATTACTTAGTAAGAGCATTATAACCTACTAAGAAACATCCACCCTCTGATAGATACATACATTACTTAGGCCATCATGAGATAATACTTGGAAAGAGCTTGCATTCAATTATAGAAAGAAAATTTTTTCTAAAAGTTATATTTAGTATGTAGGACATAAGACCATTCAAGGCAATGAAAAAATTGAACAAAACACAAAATATTTGAGGAGCAAATGGGTACAAGATTGATCATTTACTTCTAAAGAATGTGGTATTGTACTATCTTTTTTCTCTTAATATTTTCTATTTGATGACTTCTTTGGAATATAGCATGTTACTGATATTTTAGAATTAGTTGTCAAGATTTTCATATGATTGTCAATATTTTGGCAAGGCTTTATTATTTTCCTCTAAAGGGCTATTTTAAAAGATTTGCTACGTTCCTAATGGTGACTTAATACTATCAAAGGACAGTTTTTTAAAGGACTAATCCTCAATTTAATAATGAGATTCACTTAGGTTTCACTTAATGGGAATCAATTTTATGACTTATAAAGAAAACAAAAAAATGTATTTACTTCATCAAACAAAACAAGTGTACTTGGAAAACCGTTTTTCCTCTATGTGACATGAATACCAAGCAGACTGAACTGATGAAGCAGCATTTAGCTAACTGTGCTACTTTTCCTCTTTTATATTTTCTCTGCGTTTAATTCAGGTAACAGTGGGAAGCTAAAGCTTGGCCATTTGCCCACATGCTTGTGCAGAAGCCTTTTTCACCGCAGTGAAGGAGCTCCTCTGCTGCCACCCAGTGCTTTTTAGAGAGTAGTACAGGCTTCCTCAGAGGAGCTCCTTTGTGTTTAGCTCGGAGGGTGGGATGAAGGGAGCTGCAGGCCGGGGTGGCAGAAAGCTAAAACTTTTGGAGATACTTTTAAATCTATTACCTTAATTATTAGTGATATTGAGTCACAGATACATCATATGGGCTTCTAAGCTCAGTGTTTCAGGGAAAGTTGTAGGAAATTGCTATCAGGGACATTGAAGCTCCAAGAGATTCTTGAACTTGTGGGGAAGGTTGCCTGTAGGGTGACAGAGAGTTCAGTTGAGAGCACAGAGGAAGGGATCTAAATTGAATTATGTGTGCACATTTGCCAAGCCTACTTCTCTAGAAACAGTATTATATATTCCTTTTAGTAGCTCCTCACTGTTCAGCAAAATTATTACATTTGTCGATAAGAAAGATACGCCTTTTTCTGTGCTTTCTATCTTCCCTTTCCCCCATCTCACCACCTACTAGAAGAGCCCCTCTCCAGACAAGTCCAGGCATGGTGCCAATTCCTTGATAGCAGTTAGGGTCTCAGCCAACCCTACCAAAAATGCCTTAAGAGGTCACCTGTCACCACCAGCCTGAGTCCTTTGGCTTTCATAGGAGTCACTTGAATACTTTACAAAGACCCAAGGGAATTTCATGTTCAAAAAAATGATGAAGGAGCTTGGGGTTGGCAACTTTTCTTTTTTTTTTAATAGTCTATATAAACATTTAAAATTGCCCCAACTGTTACAAAGTTGTTCAATCCCAAGATGATGGAAGTCATCTTTGATGTTTTCTTCTCTCTTATTCCTCTATTCTTCACTACTTCCACTCACACACACACATACACAGTCAATCTTTAAATCCTGTGAGACATGGCTCCTATGAGTCTCTCAAATCCATATACTGTCTCTATTTCCATTGACAATGTCCATAACATAAATAGACACATTAACATTAGGTATGATCATCATTTACCCTCCTAATTTTTCTCCCCATATCCAATATTCATCTAGCAGCTGGAGTATTCTTCTCTAAAAAGGTAAATTGAAGGATGTAGCAGTGCACACTTAGTCTCAGCACTCTGGAGTATGAGACAAAAGGATCTCGAGTTTGAGGACAGTCTGTGCTATATAGTGAGACCTTATATCAAACAAAACCAAAGTAAACTAAATTATGTTGCAGTCTTGCTTAATTTTCTTCAATGATTTCCTGAAATTTTAAAATAAATCCCAGATATTTTAACATGACCTCAAAACCCCTATGTGATCTTAACTCTTGGTCCCCAAATTGATCTCCTGCCAGTTTACTCTACCTGTTCCTGCATCAAGGGCCCCAAACTTTTCTGTTTCTCTAAAGGACCCAGCTCCTTGTCACTTCAGGGCCTTTGAACATACTGTTCCCCTGTGCACATTTTCTTCATAGTCTGCTCACAGTCTGCATTTCTTTACTGCTACACTAATCACAAATAATTTTTATAATTTATTATTTAACATCTCTGTCTGAGCCCAAATTTTAAATTCTATGTAGTCAGATACCAAGTCTTATTCACTTCTCTCCTCAGACTAAAACATGCAATTAATAAAAATTCACTGAATTAATGAATTAATTAATTATTGCCTTCTACAATTTTGAGTTGTTTTAAACATGCTTCCTGTTTAAAGAAACAGTAAGCTCCTTACAGGCAAATAGTCATCAATTTTATTGGGAACTAATTTTGAACAACTGCAGGGATGACTCGGACATGAATTTACAACACAGTGGCAATAGAGCATGTAAACAAGTCAGTGCGAAACAATATTTAAAAGTGCCATTTGCAATAAGAACGTATTTCTTTGGAAATACAGTGAAGAAGGGGGTAAATGCCACTTGGCTGAGTCCGGGTAAGATGAATTGAACGCAAGATTTTGAAGCACAGGGAAGAAGTTACAAGTAGCAAAAGCATGAAGGGCAACCAAGGAGTGGAGTTGGAGATGTAAGAATGCAATAATTTTAATGGAGGGAAATGACATGCGATCTGTTTCCCCATAGGACCTCCCACAACAGATCATTAAATACATACAGTAAACACTGAATAAAAACTTGTAATCTGGTTTTGAAGAATGGTCAGAAATGTGGAAGTAATAAGGAACATAACTTGCTAAAGTCAGAATAAGAGAGCAGATGGAATGAGCTTCCTTCCATCATTAATATTCAACAGCATTGAAACAATACTACTTCAAGGAAACACTCAATAAGAAGCTGTTTCTGGCGCTTCCTTTCATCAAACCAGTTTATATTTGAAACCTCTCTGGAAGATCCTCAGTGCCTATTGAAGTTTCACTCACAGCATTACACCTAAATTTCCACCCAGTGAACACCATTCTCTAGAAGTATCTTTGAGACTATTTTTTTTTCTGGTTTCCAGTGCTGCAGGACCGAGAGGAGGATGGGGGCTTTCTCTTACTTCCGCGCAAACACTTCCAAGCCAGGTCTCAAGCCCCATCCTTTGAAGGTGGAGTCCTGCTTTCCCAAGGCCTGGTACTTCTCCTTGTCCTGCTTTTGACCATGAATAATAGGTATCAGATTTCTCTGCTCTTGACTCTTATTTCCTGAATCAAAACATAAATATAGATAGACAATTAGTGCTGAAAAAATCTTTTCCCACTCTAAATCTCTTATGCTTAGAATTGAATTCTAAGAAGCCAATCCTTCATTATTTCTCAGTCTTAGGAGAACTGGAGATGTTAGCAAAGGATTTCAAATTATTTATATTTCAAGAAGCAAAAATTTTAATCCCACACATGCTTTCTCAATTGCATAAATAAGATTCAAGGAAAATCACTGTATTGCTGTTTATGGAAAAAACTAAAAGAAAGGAACATAATTATGTAAAGCTTCTTTCTCTAAATTAGCAGATTATGCTTCTAGTAGTAGGCAAGGATGAAGAAGAAATTATAAAAATTTGGGGCTTATGTAATGATTTTAAATGAAGATAAATCATTGAAAACCATAGTTCTAAATAGGTTAAGAAGTTCTGCAGCTTTCATACCTAAGACTTCATTCTTTTGTGTGGTTTGGTTCTTGCTTCTATGTTTGTTATTAGTAGTAGTATAATTCATTACAGAAATCATAATATGCACTGCACTATAAGCTAGACTATCACATGAATGCTTTGTTTATATCTATATGTGAATTATATTTCTGGGCCTAAGAACCTTAGGGTAAGAGTCAACATAACTGCATAGATACTAAAGCACACTCCCTTTCAACAGAAATGTATTTTACAATATTAAGCCAGGCATGGTGGCAAATGCTTGTAATCTCAGCACTTGGGAGGCTGAGGCAGGTGGATCGCCATGAGTTCAAGGCCAGCCTGGTCTACATAGTAAATTCAAGACAAGCCCAAACTATACAGCAAAACCCTGTCTTAAAATAATACAAAACAAAACAAAACAAAAAAACAACAAAGAATGTATTTTACAATATTAAATAAATTTGAGAGGAGAAGTTGAGGAAGGCAGGAGCCTCCCAGCCTGAGATAACAACTTAACATATGGGATTGAATTAGATTGAATGTCCCAAGCATGAGTGCCTGGCCAGCCCTGCCCATCTGGCTGTACTACTTTGGGCAAATCCCTTGAGGAAAGGTGACTAGACCTAGGAGAAGATGACTACATGACTCCTTCTAGCTTCAACCTACCAGCTTATGCTTCCAATATTTAGTCTAGAAAATACTCCTATAATCAAGATTTACCCTTCATGTGGAACCATTGGCTAAGATGGAGGAACATTTTAGTGATTTAAGATGCTATTCAGTTGTAATAAGAAAGTAATTTTGTTTCTGCCAAACATTCTGATTATTATAATTTTTCTGCTGAGTCTTATTTTTAAAAGACATTATGTGCATCAAGACTGATATAGCCATAAGGAATTGTAGAAATTTTAATATCTGTTGATGTGGATGAGAAACTAAAATTTCCATATTTAAAATTGTGAGGTGACTTCTAAAGGTGTAACATTAAACTGCTGTCAGAAATGTTCAATATTTTCTCATCTACATACAATTGTTTCTTGGTAGCTGAAAGCCCAATCTGATTTGTTAGGGTACATTTTAGGTACATTTTCTACTCTTTCCCCAAGCTTTCTACAATGCCTGTGCCAAAAACAAGACGATGAAATTAAAGAATTTCTTATGTTCTGTCTTTGTGTGTGTGTGTGTATTGGTGTGTGTTTGTGGGGCAAATAGAGAGAGACAGAGAGATCCCTTGAAGGGATAATTTTAAAATATGTGAGTTTTAGTTAATGACACATGTAAGAAGAATATTTATAATGAGAAGCCCAATACAAATAATCTTTTATTCAAAGATTTTTCCGGGTACATTTGTGTGTGTGTGTGTTGTGTGCGTGTGTGCATGTGTGTGTGTGTGTGTGTGTGTATTTATATGCAGCAGTTGTAAATCCAAATGTCAGGATTGATTTTTTTTCATCCAGTAGCATGAGAAAAACTGAGAAATACTTAAATCTACCTTTGCCTTCTTGGGCCAAATACACTTTTAAAAAGAAGACAATTGAGATATTATGATGAAATTCAGTGAAATCTTTCTAATTTCTATTCACAATGTAAATGTTCTATGAAAATGACACAAGACTTGGGGGGATATCATTTCTGAAAAAAACTGTAGAGATCATTTGCAAAACAAACTAGCTGTTGCTATGCTTATCTCATATTTTTGTTGCATTCTTTTTTCTCTGACAGATATAACCACAGTTCCCAGCACTTAGGCTTAAACATTTATTTATTTAGGGCTCGCTAAAAATAATAAATACCCACATGAGCTGAGCGTTGTGGCACATACCTGTAATTTCAGCACTTTGGGAGGCTGAGGCAGCCAGATCAAAAGTATCAGGGCCGTGTGGGCAACTTAGTGACATAGCAAGACCCTGTCTCGAAATAAAAAATAAATAAATAAAAATTCTTAAATGTAGCTCAGTGCAAAAACCTGCAGTTTAATCTCCAGTACGATAGATAGATAGATAGATAGATAGATCCCCAAGAGTAATTAGCAAGAACTACTTTATCAAAGTAGGTTCTTGTTTTGCCCAGCTAGAAAGATGAAGACAAGTGTTGATTCTTGTATGACAGATCCAGCTTTTCTACCTGAGTCTATATCTGAAGGAAACCAAGCATGTAAAATAGGTATCTGCTTATTTCTATTTATTGCAGCACTATTTCTAATAGTTAAGGCATGGAGGAAGGGAGAATGGAGAAAAATGTTTTCATCTAATTTGGGAAAAATAAGCAAAGTAACTTTTATGTTCTTGGGTTAAAGAAGGAGCATGAAAATAAGAAAAGTGAGTGTTTATTGACTATCTACCATTTTTTTCTCATGAAATCTTTGGCTGTAGCTGACCTAAGTGTGGCAAAGGCATCATCAGCATTTTTGTTTGAGAGTAGTTTGCACGCCCCCCTTGAAAGTTAACTTTGTCAGTTTTATTATTATTATCGACATTAATTATACAAACTAGAAGAATTCATTGTGTTATTCCCACAGGTGCACACATCATGCATTGATGATGTCCATCCATTCCCCCTTTTCTCCTTCCTCTGTCCCCTTCCTAGATCCTATTAATCTTTCTTCTACTTTCAGATATTTTTTGAATAAGTTTCCATGTACAAGACAGAAGATGTGATATTTGTCTTTCTGTGTCTGGCTTATTTTACTTAACATTATGTCCTCCAGTTTCATCTTTGCTACAAATGACAGGATTTCATTGTTCTTTATGGCTGAAATATATATATATATATATATCCTATTTTCTTTATTCATCTGTTGACAGGAACCTAGGTTGATTTCATAACTACTGTGAATAATGCTGCAATAAATACAGCTATCTATTTTACATCCCTGATTTCCTTCAGATACATACTCAGAGGTGAAATAGCTAGATCAAATAGTAGTTCTATTTTTAATTTTTTGAGGTACCTCCATACAGTTTTCCACAGTGGCTGTACTAATTTACATTCCCACCAAAAATGTATAACAGTTTCTTTTTCTCCACATCCTTGCATTTGTTATTTTTGGAGGGTTTTGTTTGTTGATTATAGCCATTCTGACTGGTATTAGATTATATCTCACTGTAGTTTGAATTTTCCCTGTCCTGGTAGCTAATGATATTAAGTATTTTCTTACATTTATTGCCCATTTGTATTTCTTCTTTTGACAGTGTCTATTCAGATCATTTGCCCATTTTAATTGGATTACTATTTGGTGTTTTTTAGTTCTTTATGTATTCTGGATATTAACCCTCTGTCAGATAAATAACTAGCAGAGATTTTCTCCCACTTTTTAGGTTCTCTGGTTACTCTATTGATTGTTTCCTTTGTTGTGTAAAAACTTTTTAGTTTATCATAAACCCATTTTACAATTTTTGGTTTTATTTCTTGTGCTTTTGGCATCCTGTCTAGGACTGCCTGATCATAGACTAAACCCTCTCAAACTGTGAGCTAAAAAAAATAAGTTAATCTCAGTTATTGATTATAGTAATGGAAAGCTGGCTAACACCTGACAAGCAGTAAGCACAATGAAGATGAGCTCCAGTCATCATTGCAGCACTATGTTTTTCAGCTCAGGGCTGTCTTGATGCCTCATACATCCTCTAATGGTATTTGGAATTAAAAATTAAAGATTGTGGTTTGGAAAAATCACACTAAAGCAATGGTAATTTCAAATCATGTTTTATCAAATTATACCTAAATCCCACTCTGCTAACTAGGGTGGCAGTCATTTCCTCCCTATCCCCTCCTCTCAGTGCTACATAAGAATCACCACTCTAAGGAAACATATTACCTTTACCTGATAGGGTGAATTACAAAGTGTCAAAGCAATGACCCCCTGAATAGCACAATAACCTATGTACATTTTCCAATGTAGGAGAAATAGCAGAAGAATAAAACTTCTGAAGAAGAGTAAAAGGCATGTGGGTAAATGAGCCACTATGAACCAGGACTCAGACCTGGTAGACACTTTGGGGACCTCAGTCAAGTGGTAAAGCCAGAGCCGTCACTGCCTCCCCAGTACTCCAGAACAATCCAGAGACAAGGATTCTAAGACATGAGTTGAGTTAGGCTAAGCCTGGCGAGGCTGGACTAACTGCCCTAGACAATTTTAACTTCTCCTCGGTGCTTGAAATTTAACAGCCTTTAATTTCACATTTAGAGATCAGAGCCTAGGATTATTCCTACTGGGAAATAATTTCACAGAAAAATATGAATCTGATATTAAACCACAGATATTGATAAAGGAAATAACCCTGAACTCTTAATATGTATATAATGGGCTGTTCACAAGAGAATTGGGAAATTTGGCAGCACAGAGGATAAAAAAAGTACTGAAGCAGAGGCTGAGAGATCAAAGGAAAAGAGGCACCTCACATATGTGCATTTGGATAGTTGTTTATCAGTCATAATCCAGGTTTCCCTCTGAGTCTGTACAGGTTGATTTATTTCATAAATCTTAAAAATGCATTATGAACACTTATAAATGATGTCGCCAAGTGGCTCCTGGAACTAAGAAAAGCCTTTATTTGCTTTAGCCTTGATTTCTTCGTTCAGCATCACAGGCTCCAACCACTAGAGGGAACTGCTCCATCGACTGTATGATGAACTGACCAGACTTCTACGTCCTTATGGCTGTGGTAGAATATCATTTCATATTAATTCCCTCAGAAGCATGAATCAATCATCAATCCAATCATCTCTCCTTCAGGACCTGCAAAATATATTGTCTTGGCTTCAGAGATCCATGGATGGAAATATTCCTGTTTACCAGGATGAATTCTCAGACTGTTCCTTTCTGTAGCCCACCTTGTAACTCTGCATCCTGTGCAGTAGAGGTGGTACCCCTCCTGGGGGTGAGTAGTAAACTGAGAGGGTTCTCACAGGTACCATAATCCTATCAATAAGCTGGTCAAAAATATGACACTCTCCTTCCTTCCTCCAAAAGGAGCAAATTAATTTCAAAAAAAATCACTAGGTACTTGATTACATAAAACAGCACCTGGGGAGGACACTGGCTCAGTAACTTCCAGTGGTTCAAATGGCTGCTTGTGCTCTGCGCCAGATAACAGCACCCAGATCTCACACGGATGACCAGGAAAAGGAACTCATAAAACCAGCATGTCCAATGAGCAAAGAAGAGCAAAGCTGAATAAAATTTCCTTGAAAAAAAATTAAAAATTTCTGACTGGCTTCTATGAACAGTTTGCGCTGTCAGGCAAATTTTGCTTTCTTTAGTCCTTCAAAGTTCTACCCACAAACTCACAAGAATAAATCAATACAATGGGAGTAAAACTAAACATTTATAGATCATGAGAAAAAAATGAGTATCTTTGCTCCTAGAAGTTTTGAGATTAAGTATCTTTAATAAATAAGTTATTGATTATTATTTCTGTGTTTCAAACTCTTGTCCTCTCATTCAGCATCTGCTTTTCACCAGAAATTGTTTAAGGTACTAAAACATGTATATGGAGGTCTGGTAGTAAATAAAGGACTACTTTTATTTTGGAGATTTTATTTGCTTTTTAAATTAAGCTTTTTATCATATATCATTGTAGGTTTACATTCAATTGTAAGAAATAATACATAGGTCCCTTTCCCCTATGTACCTCCAATACTAACACCTTGCAAAACTGGTGCAATACCAGAACCAGGATATTGACAAAGATACAGACGTTGTCATCACCACAAGGATATTTTATGGGGCCCAATTATAGGTATACCCACATTTCTTCCCCCTTCCTCGTCTCTATTCTTGACAACCACTAATCTTTTCTCCACTTCTGATATTTTATTTTTTGAGATTGTAGTATAAATGGAATCAAATAGTATACAAACTTTGGAGATTGACTTTTTAGCTCAGCATAATTCTCCTGAGATTCATCCAAGTGTTTGTAGATATCAGTAGTTCACTCTGTCTTACTGGTGAGTAATATTCTATAGTATGGATGTACCATAGTTTGTTTAACCAATCATTAAATGACATCTGAATTGTGTCCAGCTTTTGTGCAGTACAATGCAGATGATACAAACATACAGGTAGAGAAATATAAGTATTCATTTCTCTGCAATAAATGTCCAGGGGTGTAATCACTGGGTCCTATGGTAGTTGCATGTTTAGTTTTTAAAGAAACTGCCAAAGTGTTTTCCAGAGAGACTATCATTTTTATTACCCCCAGCAATATTTAAGTAGTCTAATTTCTCTGAATCCTTGCAGTTTTATTTTAACCATTCTGGTAGGTATGCAGTAATATCTCATTATGGTTTTAATTTGTACTTTTAATTTGCATCTTTCATGTGTTTATTTGCCATCTTATTTATTTTCAGTAAAATATCTTTACATCCTCTTTACTCATTTTCTAATTTGGTGGTTTGAGTTTTTGTTGTTGAGTTTGGAGATTTTATAATTATATATTCTCAAAACTAGTACAGTAAAACCTTGGGTTGCAAGTAACTTGTTCTGTGAGTATTCCGCAAGATGAGCAAACATTTCCAATAAATTTTAACTTGATAAATGAGTGATGTCTTACAATACAAGTATTATGTGATGCCAAACGTCACATAATCACAACTGAGCCCTTATCCCGCCCCCCCAGATTGTGGGTGATCACTGAGGAGGAGAAAAAGGTGAAGGAATCCCTCACTTCAAATGAGATAATGGAGATGTGTAAAATGTGGGAAACAGTGCAAAATTTTGTAGAAAAGCACCATCTGAATAAGGCTGTAACACTGCAAGTGATGAATCTGTTTAATGGCAATGCAATGTCACATTACTGCAAAATCTTCAAAAGGAAACAAAAGCAAGTGTCATTGAATAGGTTCCCTGTTAAAGGTGCATGAAAAGAAAAAGATTCCATTGAGCCAATAGATAACATCTGATTCCATTAGTGATAGTGAAACTTATCCTACACAATAATCCTCCTCTCTCTTATCTCTTTCACACCAGATAGGAAGATTTTCTCTTTGTTTATTATTAATTTTATTGGTACTTTTTAGGTATACAATATAATGACATTCATCATTGGAAATTTGTACCTTTACATAATATATCTTGGTTCTTATATTTTCATCATTCCCCTTCCCTCCCTTCAGCCCCTCCAACCCTATTTACAAAGACTTTGTTTCCATTTTTTCCTTTTCTCATATTAATTCCATTCCCTTCTTTCCTTTCCCCAACCCCTCCCACTTCCCCTTTGAACCTTTTCTTCCTATTTCACATTTTTCTACCTCACCCCAGAAAGAATGGCTGCTATAAGAAAATCAACCAATAACAAATGCTGGCAGGGCTGTGGGAAAAAAGGGACCCTTTCCACTGTTGGTGGGAGTGTAGACTGGTGCAACCACTATGGAAATCAATATGGAGATACCTCAAAGAACTAGGATTAGAGGTCCCATTTGACTCAGCTATTTCCCTACTGTGTATCTTTCCAAAGGAATTAAAAAATCATACCACAGTGATATATGTGCACCCATGTTCATAGCAGCACAGTTTGTAATAGCTAAAACTTGGAAATAGCCCAATTGCCCATCAACTGGAGACTCAGTAAAGAAAATGTGGGATTTTTTAAAAAATTGGAGCACTACTCAGCCATAAAGAATGAGAAACTATAGACATTTATAGCTAAATGGATGCACATTGAGGCAATACTCTTAAGTGAAATAAATATGAAGATTTTCAAAGGTAATTATAGGTTAATTTGTTTATTGTTCTTTATATTTTATTTTTTTGTTATTTTGTCTTGTATTACAGTATTATAATTATTTTTATGTGAATATTTTTGGGTTGTGGAAAGAATCATGTGCTTTCATTATTTCTTATGGGGAAATTCACTTTGATATACAAGTGCTTTGGATTACAAGCATATTTCCAAAATGAACTATGCTTGCAAACCAAGATTTTGCTGTCTATTAATGAGAATGGTCTCAATTTGCTAGTCAAAGATGCAGCAGAATGGATCAAGAAACACAATACAATGATATATGTTATATACAAGAAACACATTTAACAAAGAAATTAAAAGAGAAGCATCATGCCCAAACTTATTCCTGGAAGCAAACATTACCCTGCTTGAAAAACCAGAAAAGGACCCAACAAAAAAGAGAACCATAGACCAATCTCTTTAATTAACATTGACATAAAAATCCTCAACATGATACTGGCAAACAGGATGCAATGAATCATCAAAAATATCATATATTATGACCAAGTAGGATTCATCCCAGGGATGTATGGATAGTTCAACATATGCAAATCAATAAATATAATACATCACATAAACAGAAGCAAAAAAAAAAAATCACATGATCATCTCAACTGATGCATAAAAGGCCTTTGACAAAATCCAACCCCCATTCATGATAAAAAAAAAAAAACCTTTAAAAAATAGGTATAGAAAGACCCTATCTCAATCTGATAAAAGCCATTTATGACAAACCAATTGCCAACATCATATTAAATGGAGACAAACTAAAAGCTTTCCCTCTAAAATCAGGAACAAGGTAAGGATGTTTGCTATCACTACTACTGTTCAATTTGGTTCTCAAAGCATTAGCCAGAGCAATCAGGCAAGAGAAAGAAATAAAAGGGATACACATAGGAAAGGAAGAAGTCAAAGTACCACTATTTGCAGATGACATAATCCTATACATAGAAGAACCAAAAAAATTGCCCTTGACACCCTCAGGCAGCACCTATAACTCACTAACGAAGATGAGTCACATTCCTGAGCAGCAGAATGGCTCCACGCCTGAAGTGAGGGTACAGCCTCTTCAGTTCAATCAGGCCCACATCTGTCTCCTCATGAACACTGCCCTATATATTCTGCACACAGTACTCTACCCTTCCACAGCTCCTCAGCCTTTGAAGACACTGGCTGGAGCCAAAATGAGAGGGCAGAGCTGTGTTCTCATCAGCTCCCAGGCTGGAGCAGCTATGGTATGTGCAGGTAACATTTCCTTTGTAGCCCCATAGCACTCAAGACTCAGTGCACAAAGCCCAGAACTGCCTCCATGGTGTTGGGCTGCAGAAAGAGGAAGAGGCCCTTCCTTGTCTGGAGTCACTGTGGGAAAGATGAGAACTCCCTCAACATAAAGGTTTCTGTAAGACCTTGAACTCAAAAGTGTAAAGACTAAGTCGGGAGCTCTTAACTTCTGTCCAAAAAATTCCACCAAAAAGCTAATAGGATTAATAACTAAATTCAGTAGTGTATCAGGATACAAAGTTGATACACAAAAATTACTAGTGTTCCTGCACACCGATAATAAACTCACCAAGAAAGAAATTAGACAAACAATACCTTATACCATAGCATCAAGACAAATTAAATACCTTAGAATTAATTTAACCAAGGAATGAAAGACCACTACATTAAAACTATTGTATTTTGAAAAAGCAGATCAAAGAGGACATCAGAACATGGAATTGTGTCTCCTTTTCCTGGACAGGCAGAACCAATACAGTCAAAATGGCCATACATCTAAAATTTATATACAGATTTAACAAAATCCCAAGCAAACTACGAATAGCATTCCTCACAGAACTAGAGACAACAATCTTAAAATTCATATAGAACCACAAGGGACCTAGAATAGCAAAAGTAACCTTGTGCAACAGAAGCAAGGCAGAAGGAATAACAGTTCAGGACTTCAAGTTACACTACAGAGCTAAAAACAGCATAATATTTGAGGGGGGGGAAGGATCTATGGATCAGTAGAATAGAATAGAGGATGCAGAAACAACTCCAAGCACATTCAGCTACCTGATCTTTGACAAAGGAGCTAAAATCTTGTTAGAGGAAAGATAGGCTCTTTAACAAAAGGTGCTGGGAATAATGGCTATCCACATGCAGAAGACTGAATCTAGACCCATATCTCTCACCATGTAGTAAACTAAAATCAAAATGGATCAAAGATTTAAATATTAAAACACAAACAATCTGCTGGAAGATAAAATAGGTCAGACTCTTGAAGACATATATGTAGGCAAGGACCTTCTGAACAGAACCCCAATTGCACAAGAGATAACACCAAGAACCAACAAATGGGATCATATCAAATTGAAAATCTTTACACTCCAAAGCAAACAACTAACAGAATGAAAAGACAACCTACAGAATGGGAAAACGTTTTTTACCACCTGTGGACACTAAGGTAAAAGGTTTACAGGGACAGTCAGCTATAATACCTAGAAGCCTCCAGCTGTTATCCGAAACCGGTGGTCACCTAGATTCCAGGAAAGGTGGAGCTGCACATGACTGAGACCATCACAGACAGAGACAATGCTTTCCTGGAAATTAAACCATCTCTCAGCTATAAAGATCGCAGAATTATGTCACCAGGACTGAGATAATCATCAACCAGACCCTAATCCATTAGGTAATCCTTAAAAACTGGCCTTTTGTTTTATAAGTGGGCTAGTTTGAACTTCTATATCAGAGTGTGCCCCCTCCAGCCACCTAAACTGGAGTCCTCCCCTATCTTCCCTTAACATTTTAATTAAAGGTTTTTTTCTTTAAAATTTAAAAAACAAAAAAGGAAGAATTGTGTATTTATGCCTTATAGGCTCAGGAGTTATATAACCATCCTACTTAAAGACTGGATCCTTGAACAGGCTTCAAAGGGCATCTAGTACAACTCACATTGTACTGAGAGGAACTAACTGGGAAATGGAGGAGCAGTTATCTCAGAATCTCAGAGCTGGTTACTAACAGCTGAAACAAGATTCCATACCTCCAAGACATGTGAACATTCAAAATCAAGAGCTACTTTCATCCATAGTAATTGATGGTGGGAAACCCTGGGTTCAGTAGATGTTACAGCTTCAGGTTTAAAAATATACATAATTCTCTGTTCCTGAAGCAAACCAAGCAGCCATCAGTGACTGCACCATTCCCTTAGCTTTTTGCTCTTGATGGTAATTTTCTTTGCAGTGACTTTCAGTTTTCTGCAGTGCTAGCCAGTCGTGACTGGTTGTGGCATCTCTAACAAAACATATTGGATTCTGTTGTGAAGTCCCATGGTTGCATTACAGAGCTAAAAATAGAATTACGTTGTGTCATCTGATATTTTCAGATGATCAGCTACACTACTCTCTGTTCTAAAATTAACAGAGGTGAGTGAATTTTTAAATTCTTTTCTTTGAACAGTCCAACTCAGAAACAATAGTCATTTTACAGGCAGACTTGCATTCAACTGTATATTCTCAGCCTATTACTCCTAACACATTTTCCCTCATTACTTTTCTCTAGCCATGTTCCTTTGCTCTTTTACATGTATTTTAAAATTTTATCTGAGATAATTATATATTTTTGTAACCCAGGTTATAATTTTCTTGCTTTCACTGGCTTCAGCTAAACTTTTATTTACACATATTCAAATTATTTGCCCTAATATTATGTACAAGGCAAAATGAAAACTAGAGGGAAAAAATCCTGCTGTTGAGGATATAAAGCACCTTTCACACAATAAGTAATACATTTTTAAAGACTAGCTGTGCATAGGGAGGACATCAAATAGACATGTAAGTGGTGCATTTTTTTTTTACCCTGTCCATGTGGATATTACCTAATGTAAGGTCATGACAAAGCTTAATATAGTGAGACAACAGTGAGAGTCAACTTCGGTAAGATGAGGGAGCACATCTTTTAATAAGTTTTCAACTAGCTTTTCACCTAGGTGAAATAACCACACTAACATCTCTCTGGCAGTGAGGGGGTGGCTCCTGGAGATTGAACCCAGAGCCTCGTGTCTGCTAATCTCACACTCTGCCCCTGAGTTGTACCCCATGTTCCCCCTGATAACTTTTTCAACTGAAATACATTGCAATGTTACCTGCTCTAAAAACACTAGTAAGAACCTTTACAACTTACATAATAATACTCACTTAGAATATGAATAGTTACTTGAAAACCTAAAGCAATCCAAAACCAAATTTAAGCTCAGACCCTGGATAGCCCCTTTGTTCTTGGCAAAGTATAAAATGAACAGAACTCATCCCTTTGTGTCATACACACAATTCAGGGGCTGGCTTGGACAATGTTTGTACTATAATATGTAATATCATCTAGAATATAAGTCAGAGTAACCAACAATTTCTTTCTTTTATGATTCTTCCTTTAAAATTACAAGTTCCAATTCATGTTAGATTTTTACTGATCTGTACTTTACCTCTCTTTTAATGTCTATATTCCTTGGCTTTCTCTAATCAAGGAAGTGAATAGATATCTTAGCAAGAGAGGGCTAGAGGAAGGCTGCAAGCATTGTACTATGCTTTGTTGAGTAGGTTCAGAATACTTTAAAATATATTATCATAAAAACAGATTGACACCAATAGCATGATTGCTGCATGAATAATCCTGGAGCTAGAAAGACTGTCCAAGGCTTCTTTATTGTAAGCATTCATTATGCTCACCACAGAAAACAAGTGCCTTCTGGGAATTTTTAAAATAAATCTCAGTTTTCTCTTGTTTATATTTCTTGGTTTCAACATAAGATATCTAAAAGATGAAAGACACTGACTATTCTGGCTATGGGGATAATACAGAATGTGGTCACTAGTGATTTATGCAGTAAGTTAATGGAAAAGTTACATATGTAATGAAATATTGGTGAGCTAGTCCTCATTACCATCATAATATTTGGCACCAAACTGTAATAACTCTGTATGTGGATGCCAAAGAGCATTTTAACATTATTTAATACCCCTCAATGGTACTAGATGAAAAGAAATATGTTAACCCAAATTTACATAAAAGAAAGAGTCATAGAGATTAAGAAAATGACCTTGAATTTTTAAAAAATTATTCATGAGCCACAATATGTCAAGGATAAGATGAAATGAGCATGCATAGACTCCCACAACTGCTGCTATATTCTACATTGCCTTTTGATGGAACAGAAGCCTTCTAATAGGGGCTTCTAATTTCTATAGATGTTTTCTCTTTCACTCTTCTGCCCTGTTCCCTCAGCACTAATGAATTCAGTATTAATTTGCAATTGATGATTGAAAAACTAAAAAGCTTTCTTCAATTCCTTTGGGGGAGAAACCAGTTCTTTCTTTTTTTTCTTTATTTCCCCCATAGATCTTTAATTCAGCTTCATGAAATGTACAAGTGAAAATGGAATGAGATCTTGGGTTGGGTGAAGTTAAATAGGAGGCTTCTTTGTGCCATGAATTGAATCTTTACAGGACTGGTGTACATTGTAAAACTTCAAGAAGGAAATATTACAAGTGACCATAAATACCTGTTTTTTGGCTGTGTTAAGCAGAATAACAGCCTCCCAAAGATGTCTATGTCTTAATTTCCATAACTTCATGTGGCAAAGGGGAATTAAGGTAGAAGGTAGAATTAAGGTTGCAAATCAGCTGACCCAAAATAGCCGGGTTAGCTAGGCGTGGTGGTGCACACCTGTAATCCCAGTTATTTTGGAGGCGGACACAGGAAGATCTCAAGTCTAAGACCCATCCAAGCAATTTAGCCAAAGCTTATCTCAAAATAAAATTTTACAAAGGGATGAGATGTGGCACAGTGGTAAAGCACTTGCCTTGCAGGCATATGGCCCTGTGTCCAATCTCTAATACCAGAGGAAAAAAATAGTGAGGTTATCCTGGGTTATATGGGTGGGACCCGTGTAATAATAAAAGTTCTTATAACTGGAGGGAGAAGTTATCAGAAGGGAGAAGAGGGCTATTTTCAGAATGATGCAGTGTAAGAAATACTCAATCAGTCATTTCTGGTTTAGAAGATGACAGGAAACAAACACCAGCATCTGGGGAAGCAGGAGAAGGGGAGAAAACAGATTTTTCCATACAGCCCCCAGAAGGAATGCAGCTCTACTGACACCTAGATTTTAGCCCACTGAGATTCATCTCACCTCCACAACTGTAAGATAATGACTTTGGGTTGTAGAAAGCCACAAAGTTCATGGTAATTTATTACAATAGCCATAGGAAACTAATACTGTGGGATACCTGTTAATATCCTATGAACATCTCTCAGAATTACAGTTCTGAGTTACACATTTTTAGGGAAATGCTATTCTTTCTGGAACAGAAGCCCGTATCACACTGGTAATCAATACATATTATAGATTAAATAACTCAGTTTGATTATGTGAAAATTGTTTGTGATTGATTTTTAGACCATTCAATCTGTTTGTCTTTCTGTTTCACTATCAGCCTGCCTCTACATTTTATAATAATTCCTACCAACCATTTTGAATTATGAAGCAGAAATGTGTTTATTTTAAAAGGCATCTGGGTTTCTTCCATATTTTAGCCATTGTGGAGAGTACTATAATAAATGTGGAAATGCAAGTATCTTTTTGGTATAATGACTTCATCTCCTTCCACTCTATATATTCAGTAGTAGAATTATTGGAGCATATGATAGATTTATCTTAGTTTTTTGAAGTATCTCCATATTCTTTACCTTAATGACTTTACTAACTTATTTTCCCATCAATCATGCATTAAAGTTTTCTTACCTCTGTATCTTCACCAGCCTTTATTTTTTGTTTGTTTTATTTTTTAATGA